CAACAATCTATAGAAGCAGATCACTGGGCAAATTTGAACCACCAACCTGTTAGCAGACAAGCGCTTATCCATTGCACCACCAGGGACCCTTCCAGTTAAATAGTTGTTATTTTTATTAGGTGCCATTGAGTCAGTTCCGACTCATAGAGACCCTATGCGTAACAGAACACTGCCTGGTCCTGGGCCATCCTCAGAATTGTTATGTTTGAGCCCAGTATTACTGCCACTGTGTCAGTCCATCTTGCTGGGTCTTCCTCTTTTTCTCTGACCCTCCACTTTACCAAACATGATATCCTTCTCCAGGGATTTGTCCTAACTGACATGTCCAAAGTACAAGAGACAAAATTTTGCCATCTTTGCTTCTAAGGAGCAATCTGGCTATACTTCCAGGACAGATTTGTTTGTTCTTCTGGTAGTCCGTACTTTAAATATTCTTTGCCAAAAACACAATTCAAATATGAAATCGTTAAGTGCCGTGGAGTCATTCCGAGTCATAGAGACCCTGTATAGGATTTCCGAGGATTTTGTTACATCTTCAAGGGAACAGAAAGCCTCATCTTTCTCCAGTAGCGCGACCAGTAGGCTCAAACCGCGGACTTTGTGGTTCACAGTCTAGTGCTTATCCTATGAAGTTACTGCCCTCCCTAAATATAAAATTCATGAGTACCAAAGGCACTTTCCTGGCCCCAGGCCTGTGGCTCTTGGGGCTGTCCGTGGACTAATGCCGCAGGCGCCTGGAAGCCAGTGTCTGCTTTACAAGGGCAGTTTAGCCATGTCATCTGGAAACTTCCACAGCCTTCCCCCTTCCTGTTCCCCACTTCTTGCCCTTCAAGTCTCCTGCATAGCCCAGTGTTTTCCCCTCTATGGTCCTTGACCCTTCAACCCCAGACCTTCCTGTTCCAACCCCCAACTTGAGCATTTTCTTTCTTGTCCAGTTCATTCTTCATCTCCCCCTCACTCACAGGTCTCTGGGGACATTAGCTCAAGGCAAAATCTGAATGTTTCTCCCCTATCTGGTCACTCAGCTCCCATAGGCTATATATAGCACAGCTGTGCCTCAGATTGTGCTGAGAGCTTCTTTGGGTCCTAGTTCTGCCTCCAACCCTTCTGCAACAGGGAGAAAGTGCCTGAAGTCTGGAGTTGAGGTGGAAAATCTCAGCAAGATCAGGGTGGGGGCAGACAAGGAGGGAGGGGCAGGGGAGGAGTGTGCCGACTATAGACAACCCAGAACACAATGTCAGGGAATTTCCGCTTCTCTCCCAGTCACTTGTTCATTCAAGAAGAGGTGTGGGAAGTGTGCAAGGGAATCCTAACAATCATCCTATGGGTAGACATGCCATCCTTTTACAGATGAGGAACTAGACTCAAAGAGGTTGAATGGCACAAGACCAAATATTTAGAGAGGAATGGGGTGGTTAATTGATTCTACATCTGTCTCTAGTTTCAGCTCTCAGTTCATTACTATGAGTACCATTTGGAAACCTCTAAATTAGAATTTCTATTCATGTGACCTGATATAAAGGCAAATGGAGGTTTGCCAATTACTAAAACCTGGTAGTGTAGTGGATTGTGAGCTGGGTTGCTAAACAAAAGGTCAGCAGTTCGAATCTACCAGCTGCTCCAATAGAGCAAGATGAGGCTTTCTGCTCCGGTAAGGATTTATAGCCTGTGAAACCCTATATACGATCATGATGAATCAGTTCTGACTCAAGGGCATACAACCACCACCAAGCCAGTTACTAATGAGGAAATGCTTATATCAAAGACTTGGCATATAACCCACATTAATGCTATCAGAGCTCACTTACTGAAGCGGGACGATACAGAAAGAAACCTGCTCCTTGGGGTTTTACTTCTCTATGTGCTCAGATGTTTTAAAAATAAAATTCAATTTTATTTCTTCTACTTCAAGACTTTCCCTTCTCTTTCTAAGCATTATTCCAAGTAGTCCAGAACAGTGAGATTTGATTTTAGGAATGGTTAGAAGTCTTGTCTTTTTTTTTTGGTCACTTCCTGTGAACTTGGGCGATATTTAACCTGATGCTAAGAATTATAATAGTGAGGATTAAATAAAATAACCTACATATAGCAATTAGCTTACTTTTGGTCCATGGAAGATGCTCAATAAATCATGTTGTTGTTGTTAAGTGAAGTGCCATCTTGTCGGTTCTGACTCATAGTGACCCTGTCTGTATAGGGTTGCCAAGGAGTGGCTGGTGAGTTTGAACCACTGACCTTGTGGTTCAAACCAACTTTGCGGTCCAGTGCTTTATCCCACAGCGCCACACCAGGACAATAAATCATGTCAAGCACTATGGAGTCCTGGTGTGGCACTGTGGGTAAATGCACCAGATTTCAAAGCCCTTTGAACTGCAAGGTTGGTGGTTCAAGCTCACCAGCTGTTCTTCGGAAACCCTATACAGGGTCGCCATGGGTTGGAATCGACTCGACGGCACTTGACAACTATGTTATCAGCTCTAGTTTTGGAGATGCTGTAGAAACATCAACATTTTAGTAAAGTTGAATTCTGCCCTCCATAGCTTCATTCTTATTCTCCAAAGGACTTGGTGGTGATGCCGATTCCTGCTGTCTCACCAGACATTTCCACCCTAACCTCTGGCCAAAGAGCCCCCTGCTGGCACAATTACTAAACTGCTAACTAAGACTGGTAGTTTGAACCCAGTAGCTTCCTGTGAGAACCTGGTTTTCTTCTCCAGCAGATTACTGCCTAACCCTATCACATGGAGTCACTTTGTGTTGAATGGACTAGTTGGCAACAACCAGCCTCTGGCCTAGACCACCAAGGATCAGGAGAGACTGTGCAGAAGGCTGTGTGTGAATGACTGGGAGGAGAGTTCCCATGAACGCTGGGGACACAGGGAGACCCTAGGGAGTAGCTGTGACTCTGGATTTGGTCCTAGAGCACTGAGTGTTTGAGGGAGAAAAGAGAAAGACATCAGCTGTTGGACACATTTCCAGAGTTGAAAAACCCCTTTAGGAGACACACAGGGCTGAAAGAAATCTAGGGAAGAAAGGCAGGTTGGGATGGAGCATCTATGGTGCATCTGGACATTTCTCTATTTGTTTAGTGAGCAGGCATTTGTTTTTTGAATCAAGCAAGCTATAATCCATTAGCATTCCTAAACTTCAGTATCAATCTGGAGAGACTCCTGGGAAAGTTTAGTATTGCATTGACAGCATAAACTTCGGAGCAAGCCAGACCTGGGTTCAGATCCTGTTGCCACGCTGGGATCCTTGGATGACATCTAGCCACTCTGAAGCTACACTTGTCGCTGAACAAGCTAGTACCTTATAGGACAGCTGAGAAGTCTGAAATATAATTATCTACTAGAGCAGGGGCCAATGCAGGTCACGATCATTCCTGTAAGTGGAGCAACCATCATCCATCCTACAAGCAATATAAGGAGAAGGGCTCTGGCGGAGTGAGAGAAGTCCCAGTTGTGTCAAACTTGTGGGCAAATCTCCTTGGCCAAGCAAGCATCCTTGAAAGGATTGAGAGCAGGCCCAGAGGGCCTGTCTTCCACTTTTTTTTCACATCCCTTGTTCATAAGGAGACTTGAGGTTCTCTATAGGCTAAACCACTAGATTGCTAACCATAAGATTGGCAGTTCAAATTCATCAATACTCCATGGCAGAACAAAGAGGTGATCTGCTCACGTAGGCTTAGGGAACCTCAGAAACCCTCTATAGGGCTGTTTGTTGAGACTGTGTTGGAGTCCTCGATGACAGTGGATTTTGTTCTTATGCATAGTTGAGGGGAGAATGCAGATTTGTCACCTTACCTGTTTTCATTCGAGTTACCCACAGTGTCTGTCTTTGACCCAGCCATTTATGTGCATGGGAACTGAAGACTGGATTAAGTTTAGGGCTCCCTTCCATCTGGTCTCCCAGTACTTCACAGGGCCTGGAGCTTCAGTCTGGAACTCAGCAGATGGGGGTGGGGGTGTCTGTGAAGAGTGATGCCCTGTTCTATCTCCTCCCCTCCCCATCCCTGACTTCAAAGTCTCCATAAAGGCCAAGTCACTGTTCCTCTGACCCCATAGTGGCAGCTCTGTCCTCAGCTCTTGGTCTATTCAGAGCAGCAGATGGTGAGCACTGACCAGACAGCCCAGACTCAACCGACAGCCATCGCCTAGGGTAAGCACCAGCATGCTGAGGACCCATGAGGCTACAGTCCTTGTTCCTCCAGGAGAGAAAGAAAAGGCCACTAAGACTCAAAGCTGATGTAAGTGGGGAGTCGTCTGTTAGACATGGAAAAGACATTCAGGCAGTCTGAAGACCAGGATTCTGGGAGTCTGCCACACTTGTGATGAGAGCAGACATTTACAGGGGCCAGTATGAAGAGGAATAGGGGTCATCAGCCCAGAAGTGAGAGGTTGATAATGGTGAAGGCTCTAGAAACAGGGACCAGTAAATTTGTCTCTAGATTCATGTACAAAATCTATGCTAAATTGCACACGAATCAGCATCATTTAAATCTCTAGTTCTTCTGATTTGGTGATGAGGGTTGTGGCACCTTCTTTGATTGCTGACTCCTTGGGGCCATAGATCCTTCTGGGTAGCTCCCTCAGGAACAAATGCCATAGACCAGTCCCAAGGCCAGTGAGGGCCTCTAAGTTCAAGGTTTGTTCCTTTACCCTCATCTGAGGATTTTTCCGACCGCTTTTCTTGGCCCAGGGATCACATCCATTGGGATGAGGATGGGGGAGGGAACAACAGAGAAAACAGTGAAGTCAGAACTAGCTGAAGAAGAGTCAGAAGTTAGAAATGAGACGGAGAAATGGTGCTAATGGCGCAGCCATCTGAGACAGGACACCTGTGACATCTTTTCAAGTAGAGGCTGTGTTGGGCATGGTAAGAAAGGTAACTCCTCCCTTCAACCCAGACTGAGAACAACTGAGGTTTTAACTGTGAGGTGCCTCCTTCCAGGACTGGACTGAAGCCCAAGTACGTCAGCTGTTAACAAAGTGGTACCCAGGATGTCTGCCAACAAAGGATGGTGGGTGCCACCTGAGGGGGAAGACAGTGTGTCCGAGAAATTCCTGAGGAAGACCAGAGAGTCTCCACTGGTGCCTATAGGTGAGTGGGGAAAAGGAAGCAATGGGGGGTAAGGGGACCTTCTTTCAAGAGCATCTTTCCTAGTCCTAAAAGCAGAGGTCATAGAACTCAAGATAGTCCTACTCACCCATCAACAGTTAGGAATGAACCAAAGGCAAAGACAGTATCAAGGGACACACTTATAATAAAATGGGAGTCTGGAGGGGTAGAGGCAATGGTCAACCAAGTAAATTCATGTATGGGATATAGAAAACTAAGTATCAACAACACTGAGATGGGAAGGGACGGAGCAGCAGCAGTTTGATGCCTCCCAGCGTTTTGTTCCTCAAGGCCCCAGCAAAGGAAACCGGCTGCACCAGGAAGGATGTGGGAGCCAGTGGTGGCTGGAGAAGGGCCCGAACAGAGTTAATGGTCACGGGGGTGCTGTTAGGATGAGCTGCTTGTATGTGGGAAGGGACATCAATGGGAGGAAGCAGCCACCCTGGAAATGCCATGGAAGGAAAACGATTCATTATTCCACTGATAGCCCAGCTGCCCAGCCTGCCTACCAAGGTTCTCTCTCAGGGGAAGTCATTGTGCTCAGTGGCTCAGGCCCAGGAGTCATGTTCTTTGCCTATAGGCTTAGGAGGCTGCCTGGTGGTGGCAGCATACAGGATTTACCGGCTGAAGGCTCGTGGTCCCACCAAGATGTCCATACATCTGATTCACACCCGAGTGGCAGCTCAGGCCTGTGCTGTGGGGGCAATCATGCTGGGTGAGTAGCTTGGCTGGGGTGGGGGTAGGTCACAGCAGAACGAGGACAAAATGGATCGGGCAGTCTGGCTTGAATCCTGGTAGTTAAGTCCCTGTCCCATCAAGTTTTTAGTGAACCTTCATTCAGACTTTCCCAGAGCTCTTCTGTTTGAATTTCCTGCCCCAGAACTATGTGAATGGTGTGTAGTCCTTTTCACATTAGTTTGCCTGAGAGGTGAGAAAAACCATGCAGCTAGAATTATGTGGAATTTCTCTTCCTCTCTGAATCAAGAGACAGACAGCAGTTGGTTTGTTGGCTGTGCGACAGAGGTCAAATCCCATTCCCTGACCCCATTCTCCCAGGTCCAACATGATGATGACCACACCTGAGAGAACAGATGTGGAAGTGCTTTGTGGCCTGTCAGATGGCCACCACAGGGCGCGGTCCCAGATGTTTCCCGAAGCTGAGTGGTCAGGTGCTTGCAGCAGTTGTAGGGACCTGGGGCAGAAAGATGAGGGGTGGCTGGCCTCTTAAGGGAGCGGCTAGAGCTGTTAGCCTCGGCACCTGGGGCAGGCAAAGGAGGGTGGTGGGTTCGATGCCAAGGGGCGCATTCCTTTTCCCCCACCCCATGCAGGTGCCGTGTATACGATGTACAGAGACTACATCAAGAGGACAGCACAGGATGCTGGGGAGAAGTAGGACCGCTACAGGGGCAGTCAGACCCCCTTAACGCACTCCCTGCTATGCTTTTAATAAAGTAGTTAGAAGGAAAACCAAGTCTCTTCTACAATGGAACGAGGGTTGGTAGGAGCGGGCAGAAGCGCTTGGAGCAAAGGTCTCAGAACCAGAGTTCTAACTCCCGACTCCAAGACAGAGGAGTTTTTAAAGGGCCAGTGGTCTCGAGGTGATTGGCATTTCAAACCTATCAGATGCTCTGTGGGAGATGTGGCAGTATGCTTCTATAAAGGTTACAGCCTTGGAAACCCTATGGGGTAATTCTACTCTCCTATAGGGTTGCCAGGAGCACTGGATAGAGCTGTAGGATAAGCACTGGACACAATGTCAACAGTTCAAACCCACGAGCTACTCCATGGGAGAAAGATGAGGCTTTCTGCTTCCATAAAGACTTACAGAATTGGAAACCCTAAAGAAGTCTTGGAGTCAGAACCTAACAAAAACAACACAGAGTAGCTATAAGCTGGAATCGCCGTGATGACAGCAGGTTTAGTTTTTAGTTCCATGAAAAAAGTGTTAGCTCCAGTAGATTAACCCCAGAAACCCAATGACTGGACCCAGAAGGAGCACGGCACAAAGAGGATAGGATGCCATGGATGGGGGTAGTAAAGAGACCTCCACACTCATGGGAACACTGACTCTAGAGACGGTGGTCCTCCCACCACATGCTGCTTCCCTGGGGGCCCCGGCCGGAAAGAGACTGCAGCTGGGAGCAAAGACAGCAACGCCTTGTGGGAGGCCACATCTACCCAGAACCCGAGTGTCAGTAGACCATGCTGGAGGGAAGGGGCGGGGATGAAAGGAACAGGGCCAGACAGAGGTCAGAATGTTCTGTTCACTTACAAACCATGTCTAAGGTCAACTTATAAAAAAATAAAATTCCACGTAAATCCTGAAGACAGGGCCTCTTGGGGTTAAACACTTTCATCCCTTTCGTTCCTGAGTCCAAGCTCTTTTCTATTCCCTGGGAATGGAGCCAGGCAGAGGCCACAGAAGGAACTAGAAGACGCAACGCTCCTCCCTCACTGGGACTCAGGGATGGCGGCCTCTGGGTTGTCAAAGGAGGCAACAGTAGCTCCCAGATGGCTCTCTACCAACAAGTCCAAGCCACATGCTTCAAGTCCAGGAGCTGCAGCCCACTGAAGGGTGCTGGGGCTGTCCGGAGGGTCTACGCTCACATGGGGTAATTGAGTACGACATCCTGCTTGGCGAGCTCCAACAACATAGGATCATCGAAGAACTTGCTGATGCTCACATCTTCACTCAGGCCCTGCAGAGAAGGGGGCACATGGGAGAAGGAGCCCAGGCAGTGGCTGATGGAGCTGGGGGTGGGCTGGGCCCTGGGTTAGTGGGAAGGTTGCTGGGGGTGGGACCTTGGCTGAGCTGTATGCCTGAGGAACCATGCCTTGAGGGTAACTCACAGGAGAGAAGACCCTCCTTCCCCGGGCAGCCTGGGCCCCTGCCTGCCTGCCTCATGATTCTACAGGTTGCATCTCTCGAAACTGTTCAGTCAACAGTTCTCAGTCCAGGGGCCCTTGGCCTCCTGTGGAGACCCCTGGTGGTTGAGGGATGGTGATAGGCATGAGGGACACATACCTTCCTACGACGGGTTTTGATCATGAATTCCCGGGCCAAGTGAGGAGCTGGCTGTGGCTCCAGGGGGCGGATGACAATGCTCTTGTCCAGAGGATCACCAGGTACAATCTGAAAGGCAAGGGGGTTTCCCATGGTCTAGGCAGACTGCCTTGAGAGTTCAGCTCTAGCACCAGGTCCTTTTCTAGAAGTTGAGAGTCAGAGCTGTTGACTACCAGAGCTTGGAAGGGAAAGAGGCAGGACTGGAATCAGCCCTGAAGAAGTGGGAGGCCAAGAGAGTCTACCTATATTTCTTTACCTGCCAGTGGTGGAAGACAGACAGGGAAAAGGCCTGGCCCTGTGTGTGAGTCCGCAGATCAGTTTCAAAGCCAAAAGAGTCAATGGCTGGGATGAAAGCTTTGATGGTGTACAGAGGGGAGCCTGGTATGGGTGCATCCTGAGTCACGTGCCCCCTGAGGAAGATAAACAGACGAGAAAGCTGGAGCTCCAGGTTCTATAAAGGACAAAACCAGAGAAGGAATCTGCCCCCAAATGCATGTCAACCGAGTACCCTCAATGACAGAACCACCATAAATGCTATACAGAGGGCAAAGAGGCTTGGGGGTTCCATGTAACCCCCTGTCAAAGTCAAAGGGGTGGCAGCCTCTGGAGTTGAAACATGGCAGGAGGTCCTATGGGCAGTGCCATCACTGATGTGATTCAGTATTTCCCCCAGTTCTCTGAGGGGCGGGGCCCAAGAAAGGAAGCTCAAATTTTAATCGGCAGGACAGTTGGGGATTACCCCATTCCTATTTGCTAAGTTTCCCGAGTGCAGCAGGTGGTGAAGGCCAATCTCTCCTTTTTCATGACACCCAAGTTACTTCTCACCTTGCTAGAGCTCAGCACTCCACCTCAAATAACTGGGGTGCTCACCTGCGCCTGGCCAGGACGGTATAGACAGCAGAGACACAGTCTGCAGGAGCCTGTACCTCCACAAAGTAGTAAGGTTCCATCAGACGAGGTGTGGCCTGCAACAGAGCAAGAAGAAAAGGCTCCTCACCTTGCGAGAGACTGAGGAGACCCTGAGTAGAGGGAAGCTAGGGAGCTGTACCCTCGAGGTTCCAGAGGCTTGCTTCCCACACTGGTCTCTGGAGCAGGCCACTGCCCCCAAACCCTACTCTCTTACCATGAGGAAGGCCGAATAGACGACTCTCCTGGCTGTGGGGATGATCTGGCCCCCACCCCGGTGAAGGGGCTCCTGGGCCACCACTGCATCCAGGATCTTAAACTTGACATTTCGAATCACTAAAAAGGAGAGGGCAGCTGACTGAGAAGAGGTTCTGGTGCTGGGCTGGGGGCACAACAAAGCAGCAAAGGGTCTCATGAGAGAGATACTGCAGCTGTCTGGAATTCACATGAGATAGGGCACAAAAATCACACTGGAGGTGGAAGTTCTAGTAAGAGATGCCAGGACTGGAGTCGACGTCGCAAGTTAAACACATTCAGTAGTGTCTGCTTCCGGTCAGACTCAGGGATCACAAAGCTTTCCTAGCAGTTTCTATGCTTCCAGTTATTACAATATTGCATTATCTGACCCCACGAAGTCCAACCCTGGTCTATGTCGTTATGTGCTGTTGAGTCAATTCCAACTCACAGTGACCCTACAGGAGAACAGAGCAGAAATGTTCCTGACGTTTCCTAGGCTGTAGTTTTTATAGGAGAATACCACCAGGACTTTCTCTTGCCGAGTGGCAGGTGGACTTTAACTGTTAACCTTTTAGTTAGCCATTAAGTGCTTAACCATTGAACCACCAGGGCTCCCTCCCATCTCCAATCCTACCCTCCTCCTCCTCTTGATACTTTATGTCAAACACAGCCAAAGCTGGAGCTTTCTCAAATTGTCAGTCTAGAAATGGCTTCATTTCCAAGTAGTGCTACCAGGACAGGTAGGGAGGAGACAGGAGGAGCCTGACACATGACTTATAATGGCTCTCCGTACCCTGAGCTGCATCAGCCACCAGGCCCTACACATGTCTGTGTCAGAGGACCCTACCTATAGAACTGGGATGGGGGTGCCAATGGACTTACACTCATCACAGAGGGGCCCCTCCCTGGTTCCCCACTGAAAACCTTGCACGATGCTGTCCTTCACTGAGCCGAGAAGAGCCTTGTCCACCTGCAGAGAGACAGGAATGCTCTTTAGTAGTGCCCCTGACAACAGGCCGGGAGTTTAGAGGGAAGAGAAGATGGGTACGCCTGTAAGAGGCACACTCCTTCAAGAAGACCCAGAATTCTTCCCAGAAAAGGACAGCACTGTGTAGCTTCTACTTCTCAAGAAGCAAGCAGCTACCCCGTGGTTCCCCTCAGTTCTGCTCTACCTCAGAAGGCAGGGTGTCATCCACCAGGATGTTGGGACCAGTGGCATCAGGCCCAAATGCCCAGATGGACCGGGCAGCCAGCAGATCCCAATCGTACTTGGTCTGGAAGAACTCTCCCAGTTTCTTCCTGAAGGGAGGAGGAGAAAACAGGTATCAGATGTAACTCAGTGACTGCTGGTCCCGGGGTCATGAGCCCGCCCTTTCTGGAGGACAATCACCTTGTCCTATGGACTTTGTCCAGGATGTAGTAAGGGAAAAGACAAAAGCACTTCCCATGTGGATGTATGGTGCTGAAGACCCAGCAAGCAGGCTCTGGTGTCCTCGTCACCCTTCAGCACCCTCACCTGTTCCATGTGATCTGGACCACCTCGTTCTCTATGTCCTCGGCGAGACCCTTCTCAAGAGGCTCAGCAATCATGGTGATCTTGTTCCTGGTCAGAAAGGTCACAGGAAGGAGGAGCGTTAGCAGGACGAGTAGAAGGGGCATTCCTGAGACAAGGAGTAAATCAGGACCAGCTGTTTAGTGAGAGCCACAGAACGAGGTAGAACAAAAAGAGATCATCTTTGTCTTCTTTCATTTGAATCAACTTGCTTGGGGCAAATTTATAAGATGATCATAGAGAGAAGTGGCAGTTAAGAAATTCCTCATAGGAGTAACAAAGGCAAAAAACCCCCAGAGCATCTTGTCCAAACACACAGGGATGAGAGAGAAGGGGTGGAACTCACATACCCTAAGCACATCCCCTCCTCCCTCTATCCCTAAGTCTTAGAGCTCCAATCTTTGCCTCTATTCCTACATAGTGTGTGTTTGGGGTGGTGTTGGTGGAAGGTGGGGAGAGGAGGCTCCCTGAGGCTGTCAATCTCAGGGGCTCAGTGACTACCCAAGCTTACTTCTTATTGGGAGTTTCAGCAAAGCACTTGAGGGAGGACGTTTCCACCACCGTCTCACAAAATGTGACAACTGGGTCAGCCACCTAGGAAACAATGAACTGTGTTGGGGTGGGGCAAAGTCTA